TTGCTTGCTCTATCTCTTCCCTATGGCGTCTCTGCTTTTTGGCTTCTGAGTGTCCCAGTTTTCTTGCTCACCCCTCTCTGAATCTTTTCTGTCACAGGCCGTTTATCTGCACCATTCCTTTTCCACTTCTGTTTTCTTCAAGCATTGTTTTTATCTCTTTTCGTATCTGCTTCTGTTCTGAGCCTTCCTCTTTTCCTTTCCTGTATTTTCCTGGTCGGTCTCTCTCTCCCCCTCCCCGTCCCTCTCCTCCTCCCTCTCAGAATTTCTCAAAACACCAACATATTTTAAATATTATCAGAAACGGGATGGCATAGCTTCAGTCTGCCTCCCTTTTAAGCAAGGAAATTACCTGTTTCCCCCTTCTGTGGCCTGTAGAAAAAGGTTTGCAGCTCCTTACCTGGCTTTGACTTGGTCCCTTGAGTCTGTGATTTTTCTCAGGCTGATACTGCCAGGAAGCTTTCCCGGTGGCCAGTGGCCAGGGTGGCCACATGTCCTGGGGTCTGACACACGTGGATGCGGTTCCCTAGGAGACCAAGACCATCGTGTCCTTTTATTCTGAGTAACTCATAGCACAACATACCAATGTTGCATATGTTGTTCTCCTAATAGGTTTGCTTTTATATTTTTATGTATCAATGAAAGAATAAATTCTATTTAAAAGTTTAGGAAATATTGGTTTGAGGCAAAAATGCCAAGTTTGGATGAGTTGTTTCAAATTAATTGTATTACCTCCACCTGTCATTCTGCCTTTTTTTATTTTGGTTTGGTGTTTTGAGACAGGGTCTCACTATGTAGTTGAGACTGACCTGGAACTCACTATGTAGCCCAGGCTGGTCTTGAACTCGCAGTGATTCTCCTGCGTCAGCCTCCCGAGTGCTGGGATTACAGGCATGCGCCACCATGCCCGGCTCCGTCATTCTGCTTTTTAATTCCAAGTTCAAACACCTACCAAGTGACAGGCAAATTCCTTTAGCTCTTGATCCCTAGGCTTTCCAGTTGTAAAGTGAGGGTGATAACTACTCTGAAGGACTGTTTCTAGAGTTTAATGATGTGGTGGGTGTGAAGTTCTGAACACACTGCTTGGAACAGAACCATAGCTACAGTGGGGGAAATAATGCTGCCCTGTCTTTTTTAAGCAATAGTTTTAAGTGTTAAATGAAGTAACAGTGAAGAATATGGTGTGAAAAAGTATCATCATGTAGCAGGGTGGGGTGGTTCATACCTGCAATCATGGCACTCTGGGAAGTTGAGCCAAGTGGATCACAAGTTCACACCCTGTCTGGGCAACTTAGTAAGAACTTTTCTCAAAAAAAAAAAAAAATTAAAAGGGCAAGGGATGTAGTTTAGTGCAAAGGTCTTGGGTTCAATTCTCAGTACCACAAAACAGACAAACAAACAAACAAGTACTGGGCACTCTATCAAGTTTATCCTTATTAGGAAAATAACTGTAATAGCAAACAATTATTGAGTACTTACAACTATATAATTTAAAAACTGTCTAAAGTGGGGATTATCTGCTTTACAGATGAAGAAATGGAGTTTCAGGCAGGTTAAAGGATGAACAACTCAAATATAAAAGTACAATTTATTTATTGTTTGGTATGTGCCAGGCACCATACTAAGATCCCTACACACATTATCCTACTTCACTTCACAGTTGCATAAGATAGCCATTCTCTCTGGCATTCTTGTTTGTAGATGACAAAACTGAAGTTTGGAGAAGTTAAGTTATTGGCCCAAGCTCATGTGGCCGGAGGCACAGTTTATTAGAGACCAAAACTTGTTCTAGAAACTTCCTGCTATCCCTCCGCACAGCTTACTTGAGGGCAGAGCCTCATGAAGTCGGGGATATAAGCAGTTCTCTTCCTGCTTTTCCTGTTCCTCCCCAGTTCATTTTTCCTTTTCTTTATGCCCTTCCTTCCTTCCTCTCTTCCTCTCCACATCACCTCTTATTCTTCCCTTATATCTTTCTGCCTCTCCTCTTAGCCTTCTCGGACATCCCCTTTTTCCTCCTCCTCCTTTTACCCCTTCCTCTGACGTTTCTCTCCCTTTCCTCCTTTTCTCTTTCCCTCCCAGGTCCCCTCTTCTCCTGTCTTCCTGATTCCCCTTCCCCCTCGCTTATGCCACCCCCCCTTGCTGCCTCCAGAGCGATGCTGCCTTCTGTTGCTATGGAAACACCTCAGCCCTCTCGCAGCCTTTTCCTGGATCTCAGCTGGCCAAAGACCAATGGGAGAAGCCTAATGACGTGGCACCAGTGTCTGCCTCCTCTCCTCTGTCTCACCAAGACCTGAGGAACTCCCTGCACTCTCCAAAGACCTGACCCTCTACCCCTGGAAGTGTTAAGGGAAGAGACAAGAAGGATTATCCAGCGCTCAAGGGCAGGCCTGGCCATGAGTTTGTGCAAAGTTACCTTTACTGCCACCACCAGTGGCATTCACAAGAGACTTTTGTGCTTAATATGGCCTGGCAAGAATCCTCTTTGCCTGGCACCCAGCTGCACACATCAGGCTCCGAAAAACTGATTTGTGCCAGTCCCTTCTCAGTCAGGTGTCAAGTTGTGATCATATGATTTATTTGCCAGGTACTTTGTCTTGGTAAAAGAGTTCCCAGCTAGAAATCATTATTTAGCTTGGCCTTCACTCTTGCTGGATGGCTGGGAGATTCTCACTGGGAACTTGTCACATGGAGAGGTCCCAGCCATAATGCAAGCCAAATCCACAGAGCTATGAGAGTGCTGGTGACTTCTGTCCCCTGTCTTTCTGCAGAAAAGCTCTGTCTATGGACTCATTCTTCTGCAAGGAAAAATGTTTTCCACTTGGGCTTATTTTCTGCACCTGTGGGAACCACCCACAGGGAAGGGAAACTTAGAATACTTTGACCACATTCTTCGACCTCTTGCTCCAGGGTCCTCTGTGGCTTCATTCTTTTGATTTCAATTTAGAGAACATATTTAGATCACTAACCATGCACAAAAATGCACCCAGCTGGTATAAAGGCCATCTTTACAACCCAGTGCAGTATTTTGTAAAGCAGCAAGCCCGGATTACCCCCACTCCGTAACCCTCGAGTCTGCTCCATCACAGTGGAGGTTGCCCGGTCTGTCCACCGCCACTGGGACCTTGTTCGCATGAGCCAGCATTTCCTGCGGCAGCAACCTCCATCTGCCGCCAAGTCTCAACACCTCTCCGCAGCAAGCATTTCCCTCCTGCTCACATTATGCGAGTGTTGCTGGTCAGCAGTAGCTGTCCTTGGTTCTTCTGGGCTTTGCTAGGTTTGGCTCAGCTCCACCGATCTGTTATTTGGGGGCCCTGGCTGAAGGGGAAGCTCTCGTCTGTGACCCGCTGTTCTCATGGCAGAGGCAGGAGCTCAAGGAGAAAGAGATAAAACAGCAACTCATTGAAAGGCTCTGCTCGGATGTGGAGTAAGTCCTGTCTGCTGGTGCTCACAAGCAGAGCAAATCACGTGGCTCAGCCCGACCTGGGGCAGGAAGCAGGGCTGCTTACTAGGAGGGAGGGAGGAAGAGAGAGCTGTGAGCAAAGAGTAGAAGCCACTACAATTTCAAAAACAGTTGTAGACCAGAGTGAGTCTTTTTCTAGCACTGTTCTCATTTTACTTTTGAACTATTTATTACCTGAAATAACGAAACTGTGCAAGTTTGGAGCCAGCCCAGGCATGGATTAAAATCTAAATTTTTTAGCTTGCTAGCTATGTTCTCCGGGCTGGAGAATTAACCCCTGTAAGTCTCAGTTTATGCACCTGCAAAGTGGAAATATTAACATGCTTTTCATGTGGCTGGGATGGGGATCAAATCGTACTACTCAGTACTAAGCACATAATACATATTATTATCATATACAAGTGAATAAGTTATATTTTCACCAAACTAAATAACAGATATTACTTACTCTCTGCTGCTTTTTCCTACTTAACCAACTAGACAAGGTGATGTGAGGCAAAAATAACAATAGCAAACGCTAACAGTTAAGTGGCTCTTACAATGCAGGAGATACTGTTTAAGGACTTTTATGTATTCTAACTCAATCTTCACAAACCTATGAAAAACAGTCATCCTTCCATATCTGTAAGCATTGCCTCTTCAGATTCAACCAACTTCAGATAAAAAATAATTGAAAATATCTGCACTTGTACTGAATATGTATAGATCCCCCCTTGTTGTTCCCTAAAAAACAAAGTATAAGAACTATTCAAATAGCACTTACAGTGATTAGGCATAGGTATCTAGAGATGATTTAAAGTATACAGCAGGATTTGCATGGGCTATGTACAATTGCTACACTGTTTCATATAAAGGACTTGGAACTTTAACATCTGTCCCTGTAGATGCTGAGAGAATGCTACATTGCCACTATTAGGAATACTACTATTATCTGCACTTCACAGATGATGAAACTGGTACAGAGAGACAAAAAAGCAGTAAAATAGTTTATTTATAATCACATAGCTTCCTAGCTGAGCCTGAACTTCCTGAACTTGAACCCAGGCTGTACAGCTGAAAGCCCACATTCTTAGCCATTATGTTCTCCTAGTTGGTCTAGGTGGGCAGCGGTGATACAGGGATTGTGAAGAGCCTTGGGACCGTGGATATGATATGTAAGCCCAGTTTTTTAGATGGAAAGAAAATCTGGGTAGTCATGTGACTGAGTTCAGTATGCATTTGGACATAATAAAAGGAGTCACGGGAGGCAATAGCAAGCTACGGAATCTGTGGGGCCAATGCCGGCAGTCAGCGGGGAGCATGATCCGATGGGGAGTTGACTGGATTTCCTGGAGCAGAGGGTAACTCTTCCTTTCTAATCAAAAACCCCAAGCATTGCTAGAACAAGGGCTCTTTGGAAGGCAGGTCTTCAGGACTTCAGGGTTTACCGGTAGCCTGTGCAGTGCTGTCCACTTCTGCACACAAAAGCAGTGAGACAGAAACTTCCCTGGGAAGCATCCTCACTGCCCTTCAGGGCAGTAAGAATATTGTCATACCAGCAGACTCCAGAAGCCTGCAACATCTGCAGAAAGGGAGGAGCAGATGAACACTACAAGGGACACTGCAACTGGTATAGTCACCGTCACTTCCTCCTGCTAGGCCAGGAACGCACCACCATCTCACAGCAACTGAGGAGGAGACAGCAGCAACTGCCTGACTGAGTCTGGGTCTTTACATCAGGTAAGCAACTGCTTTCAGCTGGATGTGGATGGAGTGTGTCCCCTAAGAGTTCATGTGCTGAGATTTCATTCCCATCATGTGTTCTTAAGAGAATATACTCTGAATCTGACTATAGTGTTTAGAAGTTGGGTCTGTTGGAAGTGATTTGGATTAAATAAGGTGATCAGGGTAGAGCTGTCATAATTTAATACTGTTGGCTTTGTAAGAAGAGACCAGAAAGGGTGTGCTCGTGTGCATGCATGCACACACACACACACACACACACACACACACACACACACACACAAACACACACACACACAAACACCCATGCTTCTACACCACTAAGAAATGTAGCTTTAAGGAAAAAGAAAGTTGCCCTCGATCACACACACACACACACACACACACACACACACAAACACACACACACACAAACACTTTCCTGCTTCTTGTCCTGCACTACCTTGGAACTCTGTCAGCAAGAAGGCCATCAGCATAAGCAGGTCCTTGAGCCCCCAGAACTGTGAGTTAAATAATCCTCTTTTCTTTATAAAGTTACCCAACCTCATGTACTTTTAAAAAAAATAGTAGTGAAAAAGAAACTAACATACCTCTCACTCACATATCCTAGGACATTTAATGGGGTACCTTGGACATTCCAGCCTTGGTGATAGCAAAATTCTTAATCTGTGGCTATCTACTCACTAATTATTTCTTTCTTCTTTCCTCTTTATTTGCCTTATCCTCAAACATAACTTAACTCGTAAATGTGAGTACTGTTTGGTTTCATTTGATTTGATTCATGGATAAGGCTTTTGACTCATCTTCTGGATCTAGTCCCAAACATCAGCTTGCTGGGCCAGATACTCTGGTCTGGCCTAGGCTCCTTGGGCACCAAACACTACTCTACTCCCAGTCAGGCACCATCCTTGGTTTCACCAAAGCCTCTTAGGTCGCTGATAGCCTGGAGCACAGGACCCAAACTCAATGGCAAGCCATGTAGGAATGGCATTAGCTCAGATTCACTCCTTTGAGCATTGTTGTACCCATACTCGCTCCTACCTCTACACTGGAAAGGTACTTTTTGGGAAGGAATTACCCATATACTTTCTGAAAGAAGGTATTTCTCCCTTGGTAGACTTAGTTGTCAAGAGAATAGTACATACTTGCTTCTGCTCTATCTGCCTCGGTCCTTGAGCCAATGAAGGCCCAGCCTGGAGGGCCATTAAGAGCCCTTGTACCCTACTGAGTAAATCTTCAAATCTCAGTTGCCCTTATATCTCATGTGCCCAGTGCATGTTTATGCTCTGGTGCCCAAGGAGGAACCAGGCTTCAGTCTCAGGTGCTGTACCTGGAGTCTAACTGCCTCCTGTGCAGTTCCTTGGTGTCTGATTTTGCTCTGGGACTTGTTTTATAGGTCCATAATCTAGACCAGCTATTCAGGTCCTGATTCTCTATCTTACTATGTTCCTTGCCTCTTATACATAAGGTACATCATTTCTCTGATGTGTATATTGCCTCTACTGTCTCTCAGATTTGCTTAATGGTACATTCAGATCTATGACTTAGATGCCCATCAGGTGCCAGAAAATGTGGCCACCTAGAAAGGCCACTGAGACATTTTGGGTAGTGTGTTAGTTACTTTTCTCTCATTGCTGAGACAAAATACCTGACGCCCAAAGTTAAAGGGAAAGAGTTTATTTAACTCACAGTTTGTAGAGGTTTCAGTCCATAATCGGCTGGCTCTAAGGCAGAGTGGCACATGGCAGAGGGGTGTCACAGAGGAGAAACAGTTCATGGTGCCCACACAGTAGCAAAAGCAACAAGGGACCTTAGCAGTGTCTTACTGCCCCTTTTGTCTTATCCAATCTACTGGGATTAGGGCGGTGCCGAAGCATTGTACTACTTTAGTAATCATACACCCTTAATCCCAGCATCACAATTCTAGATTCAGCCACCTCTGAAAAGCCACCTAGGACTTCATGAGACTTTGAGGGGACATCTAGAACCAAACCATAGCAGGTAGGCTATTAAATACATCAGACTACACTTCCTGGATTTCATGGTTTAGGCAGCTGGCCTCTTCTTTCAGGGAGCGAGTTCCTCATCCTCGGTGACTTCTCCAGGAAAAATCTCAGCAAGCTCTTCTCTCCCCAGCATGGGCTCTTAGAATCCTCACTGTCCTGTCAAGGCACGTGGTTATACCATCTCCTTAGATGGGGCTCGTCTTAGATTATTAAATTGTCAAATTTAACAAGAATGAAACATCACATTTTCCATCAGATTAGCCAAAATGAACATGATTGACAATGCCTAGGAAAGGCTGTAGGGAAACATATTCCTAGACAACATTTGTAGGACTGTATATTAGCACATATTTTTACTCTTTTTTAGCATAGTTTGAAAATATGTATCAAAACTTTGACCTCAACAGTTTTTCTTCTAGGAATTTATGAGAGAGTTAATTCGACACATTTTCAAAAACACATATGTAGGAGAATTTTCCTTTCATTGATGTTTTTGGTTGCTGCAAAAAATGAGGTTTGCCGAATAATTTGTGTTACAAAGGAATACAATGCAGCTGTTAAAGTGCTTGTTAGGGGGCAACATGCACTGATATGGAAAGATCTCCACACCAGATTGCTGGATAAGGAAGCAATTTACACAAAAGCTTATCTAAGATAATCGCACTAAGTAGATTTGATTTGTGTGTGCATGGACAGATGTGCGTGTATATGCATGTATTTGTATGTCTATATCTATATGTATTTCAAGGAGGCCATAGTTTAACAGTGATGGCAGATTACATCAAGGAGACATTTATGAAACTGTATCATAGGGAATTGCAGAGAGGAGACAGGACTGATTCAGGAAAGTCTTCCTAAAGTGACAACTAAGTTGGGCACTGGAGGATGAGTGTAAGCATTGAAAGAGGAAGATGTAGAGATCCACATGGAGGTGTCTGGTAAGTGGTTGGATATAGACCCACTGTTGGTATGAATCTCCGAGCTTAGCCACAACTTAGGCCTAGAGAGCCTTTTACACAAACTACTGAGATCACTGGCCACAACTCACAGAGGATGCAGAAAACATCTCAGAAATGAGCCCTGTAAGTGGATCACTGAGTAAAAGGTAGACTTGGGTGGGAGCATGGAACTGGGCCATGTGCCATTGTGTGAGGCAGAGAAGCTCCACCTGCTCAAAGGAACTTTCCAAGTTCTCCCTCCTTTGTTTGCCCTGCTGTGCCCTACAGCCAAATGACACTTGGTCACACAATCCCTTCCATAGTTAAACTTGCACTTTATTAAAATTGCTCTGAATAACTCGGGGGGGGGGATTGTATCCATCTCCATTCATCTTCAGTGGCTTTTACACCTCACTCGACATAACTGTCTCTTTTGATTAAATCTCCATTAGGGCTCTGTTCCATATTCAGCAGCTCTATAAGCCAATTAACCCAGCATTCCATAGGTTAGGACAAAGAGCAGTGCTTCTGCAGAGAGAGAGAGAGAGAGAGAGAGAGAGAGAGAGAGAGAGAGAGAGAAGGGAAACGTTTTTTCTCTGCTATGGCTACAGCTAACCAGCACTGTATTTATCATCAGGCTCTCATTTCCCACACTTAATCTAAAGAAAATGGAAAGGACACCGCCAGCAAGATGCAATGTCGGGCTTGGAAAGACTGTGCTTGGCCTACCCATTGTGTCAGACTCCATAGCTGAGATGCAGTTTCTTGAGGCCCATGTTGTTGGGCAGTGATCGTGGACCTTCCAGTTCCTCCCTCTCCTTAATCATTCACAAATTTCCAAGGACACTCATCCCTATGCCCAACCCCTCCAGACCCTGCCACGCATGCATGTTATAAGCCTATCTCTGTTGTTCTAAGCCTAGTCAAGTCTTGTGGCCCTAGATCAGTCATGGCCACCCTCTAGAGCTTTCAGTGATACATTGTGGCACATGTACCGTAGGTTTGCTATCATGTGGGAGAAATAGTTCTGGGTAGGCCTTAGGTCATGGCCCAGTGGGTCTGGATATCCATGAATCACCAATGTTCTGCTTGGCCATAAACCATTCCTCTGTTACGATTTGAATGTGTTCCTTAAATTTCATGTATTGAAAACTTAATTCTCAGTGCAACAATGTTGAGAGGTGGAACCTTTGAGAGGTGAGTAGGCCATGATGACTATAACCTCATGAAAGGGTTAATGCCTTTATCTTGGGAGTGGGTTCCCTAATGAAGGGATGAGTTTAGCCCTCTTCTCTCTCTTGTCCTTCTGCCTCTGCCATGGGATGATATAACAAGAAGAAGCTTGCCAGATGCAGGCCCTCTGAGATTAAACTTTCCAGGTTCCAGAGCTGTAAGAAACAAACTTTTGTTCTTTATAAACCACCCGCTCCCTGATAATCTGTTATAGCAGCCCATAGTGGACCATATCAACTTCTCATCCTGCCCTTGCTGGAGTAAATTATAAGACTGGCTTTTGGTAACCCTTTTTAAGGTCTGGAGCTCCTACATGCTTTGTACTCTCAGATTGGGTGCCAGGAACCCTATCTTTTCCCCAGTTCTGCTAGTTCCTTTCACTGAGGGATGGACCCAGCTCTCTATGCTTGGGAATGGGATGGAGTTCTTTCTTTTTTTCAACTTTAATTGAGTTTATTGGTACATTTTAGGGATACAGTACAGTTACATTCATTGTTGGGATCTTGTACCTCTACATGACAAGTCTTGGTTCTCATTTTTTCCCCTTGTCCCTGCCCTCCCTTCACCCTCTCTCTCTTGTCCTTCTGCCTCTGCCATGGGATGATATAACAAGAAGAAGCTTGCCAGATGCAGGCCCTCTGAGATTAAACTTTCCAGGTTCCAGAGCTGTAAGAAACAAACTTTTGTTCTTTATAAACCACCCGCTCCCTGATAATCTGTTATAGCAGCCCATAGTGGACCATATCAACTTCTCATCCTGCCCTTGCTGGAGTAAATTATAAGACTGGCTTTTGGTAACCCTTTTTAAGGTCTGGAGCTC